GGTAATTGTTATCCAGCCCTAGTAATGGGTTAGTATTCATAGGTTAGTAGCAACACTAACACTCTTTTCAATTTCAGAGAGATTCTCTGATGATTTGCTCCACAAAGTAAGATTTCTGTGTGGGAATGTCCCCAGTTTCTTCCACTACGAACGCTAGATGCTTGTGCTGGTTTTGGCTGGGGTATAGTTAATTTTCTTCATAGTAGCAAGTATGGGGCTCTGGTTTGGATCTGTGCTGAAAACAGTGTGGACAATACAGAGATCTTTTCGTTACACTTTCGTAAGCACTCTGATCAAGGCCTTTTCTGCTTCTCACCTCACCCCACCAGCGACCAGGCTGGGGGTGCACAAGAAGCTGGGAGGGGGCACAGCCAGGACAGCTGACCCCAACTGACCACAGGGATATTCCAGACCAAATGACGTCATGCTCAGCATATAGAGCTGGGGGAAGAAGAAGGAAGGGAGGGACGGTCAGAGTTATGGTGTTTCATCTTCCCACGAAACCATTATGTGTGATGAAGTCCTGCCTTTCTGGAGATGGCTGAACAGCTGCCTAAAAAGATGGGAAGTGGTGAATGAATTCCTCGTTTTGCTTTGCTTGCATGTATGGCTGTCCTGGTTTCAGCCAGGATAGAGCTGGTTTTCTTCGCAGAAGCCAGTGTGAGACTGTGTTTTGGATTTGGGATGAGAAACTGTTGATAATGTGCTGATGTTTTGGGTTGCTGCTGAGCAGCCAAGGACAGTCCAGCTTCTTGTGCTGGCCTGCCAGCGAGCAGGCTGGGGGTGCACGGGGAGCTGGGAGGGGACACAGCCGGGACAGCTGACCCAGACTGGCCAAAGAGATATTCCCTACCATCCAACGTCATGCCCAGTACATAAACTGGAGTTGGCCGGGGGGCGGAAATCGCTGCTCGGGGACGGGCTGTCGATCATGGGGTGATGAGCAATTGCTGTATTGGGCATCACTTGTTCTTGTACATTCCTTTGTTGGTATTATCATTGGTGTTCCCTTCTTTCTTTCTGTCCTATTAAACCATGTTTATCTCAACCCACGAGTTTTGTTCCCAATTCTCTTCCCCGTCCCACTGTGGGAGGGGGGGTGAGCGAGCGGCTGCGTGGTGCTTAGTTGCCGGCTGGGGCTAAACCACGACAATGACTTTTGCTTTACCTGTCTTTACCACAACCCATGAGTTTTCTCACTTTTCTCATTCTCTCCCCGTCCCACTGTGGGGGAGTAACCCAGTAGCTGTGAGGTGCTTAGTTGCTGGCTGGGGTTAAACCACAACAATGCCCAAAAACATTTTTAGGTTGTTAGCAATGGCCTTGTCTTGGCTGAGCATTTCTTTCATGCAACATCTGTTGGCCTTACAGGCTTCTTGCTCTGATGTGAAGAAAGATTTACTGTTGGTTTTGATTCCTTTGCGAAGTGCCCCTTAAACTCCTTTTTTAGCCTCAGTTCTGCACTTTCACATTTAATCTGCCAGAGTTTAAGATCCTTTCTGTTTTCTTCATTTGGATACAGACATCAGGTTTTCAAAGGATACCTTCTTGCTTTTCATAATCTCTCTTGAATGTGCTGCATAGCCTCACAACCTTCCTTTTGCACTCTGTGGTTCTACCGTGCCATCTTTCTTTGCAAGGATGGGACAGATGAGACCCTGCTCTTACATTCCAGCATTCACCGCACAGGTAGCCTCATGCCTGTCATGCAGAAGTGCGAGAGAACTGCCTCAAAGTTTTGAAGACTAACCTTTCTGATTTATGGTGGACCTAAATGAGCAGAAAAAATAACATGCTGTGATGTTCCTGATAATCTATACAACTTAGGTAGGACTTAAATTTTGGGATGACAGAGGACTCACAATTTTTCACAGAAAAGAAAATTACATTATGAGACCTGGCTTCATAAAATGTGTAAAATAGAAAAGGTGGCAAGAGATGCAAAGAAAAGATTAATTAAGATTACAGTTCTGTCTCACTGCTTACCACAAAGGGGGTGCAGAAATATGCCACTGACATTCTTACATACTTTAAAGTAATGGTACCGTGTACACATTAGTTATAAGCAAAAGTCCAGCTAGAAGGGGAAGACAGAATTTAAATTTCTAACATTCTAAACACCAAAAGAAACAGTAAAGTTGCAAATGTGCTGAGCATCATTTGCACATCCCACATATCATTGTCAACAGTCAGCCTGTAATAAGCTCTCGGTTTTCCTTCCCTAACTTCTCGCGTTTGGTGTGGCACCAGGCCATCTTCAGC